GCGGAAGTGGGCGGCGGCGGGCGGCCACAGGCCAGCCGCACGGGCTCACAGGCCCAGCGCCCTGCGAGAGAAGCAAGAACCCATGAGTGCAAACACAGTGTGGGATACATATATATTTATATATACACATAGCAATCTAAATACATAAATAAATAAATGCAGATACAGGGAAGGTTGTATTACACAGGATGTTTAAATACTATATATATATACATTTATATGTATGTGTTCAACATGATTAGTGCACGAGAAACTTTATGTATGAACTCAGCGTTGTGTTTAATACTAGATCCATGCACATTTCATACATGATCCGCACGCGGAGCATGTATTAAACACGGCACTGTGTATATATATATATAGAGAGAGAGAGAGAGAGAGAGAGAGAGATTCCCCAATCAGTGCTTGCACTGACGGGGTCCTAGCGGTAATTGAAAGATTAGGCCAAGATTTCCCGCCGATGTTGGTAGCCGGCTGGGTTCCCAGGTTCCCAGTTCCGGGTTCCCGGGTTCCTGGTTATTGGTTCTGGGCCAATTTCGGTGGGTTCAATCCACTGGTATGGTACCTGCCAGAATTTTCAAACTATCCACTGGTTGGGCTTTTTCTCGGGTGCAATATACACATAAATATTTCTATTCATATATTAAGATACATACGGCCGGGGACCCCGAAAAAAGCGTCCCCCCCCCGCCTAAAGAATTTGGCCCCACCCCAGGCCTTTCGGGCAGCCCCCCAGACGACCTCGGGTAGACCCCACGAGAGCCCGAAGACGGCCCCAGAAGGCACCCGACATTCCGGCGCGCTTCCGAAACGTCCCCAAAGAGCCCCAAGACGGCCGACGACGACCCCAAAGGAGCCGTCATACCACGAACAATCGCTCCAAAACGTCCCAAGAGGCCTCCAAGAGCATTCCCAAGAGGGCCCCACTAGGCAAAATTCATTGATGTTTCATGGGTTTGTGGGGGGTGTTTGAGTTCTCCCCTTTTCGGCTTCCCGACTCTCCAACACGGCCCACGCGGCCCCCAAAATCGCCCTCAGAGGGCCCGACAGACCCCAAGAGGGCCCCAAGCCGGCCCAAGAGGGTCCCAAGACAGTCCCTACAGGGCCCCAGGAGGTCCCAGGAGGTTCCCAAGAGACCCCGACGAGGCCCCAAGAGGCCTTCCCCCTGGGAAGCCCCAAGAGGCCCCCAAGACTCCCAAAAGATCGTGCAAGGACCCCACAGAATTTCGAAAACGCCCGAACAGGCCCCCAAGATAGGCCCAAAGGGAGCCATGAGCCCGAGCATGACCCCAAGACAGCCCAACAGAGCCAACACGTACGCGCCCCAAGACGGGGCCAAGCCATAACGGGACTGTACCACGTCCCACAGAGGCCCACAGAAGGCTGTGGGAGGCTCCCACAAGTTCCACTTGACGTTAACACTCTGTACGCGAGGCCTCCCAAGAGCGAACGGCGGCGCAAAACAACTTCAGCGTCGAGGTAACCGACCCCCGCTGCGACACGGTCCCGAAGCCCCCCAAGGCCCTCACACGGCTCCTTCCACAGTCCCAAAGACACGGTCATTGGTAAGCCCAGGTCGCCGTTCCACATTATGCCGTGTCCCCCATGCCGTCTCCTACCAAAATCTTTCGGCACTCGCGAGCCCGTCACTGCGTTTCTAGCCCCGCCCCTCTGTGGCCACGACCGCGAACATGTATATAGACATGCATATGTGCACACGTAGATCTGCCCAAGTAGACATGATCCATTGGTATGCGCAAGGGTGTATATACATATAGGGAGGGAATCTCGGTGAGCGAGGAGAGGGAAGCGGACGTTGGGGAGGACGAGCGGTGGAGCGGCAGATAGAGAAGGAGGAGGAGGAGGAGGAGGACCCAGAGGAGGAGCGAGCAGGAGGAGGGAAAGAGATGGCACCGTCGGAGGACGGCGAAGAATTTCGGTTGCGCCGCACCGAGGAGCGCTGTCCAGAAGCCAACGGCTTCGGTTTCACGTGTACGTGCACGCTTGCAGAAATGTCGGGCAATGAATGACGACGAAAGGCCTTCGTAGGCCCTCGCACATTGGCCCGCTCGTGGCTCAGGTGCCCCTGTACGCGATGCGAAGGAATGGCAAGCCACGCGAATGAATTCCCAGCAACTCGACGCAATGTCAAGCAACGCCGCAAAGCACATCGCAATGCCAAGCCGAGGATGTCATGTTGCAGCGGGTCGCAGCGGGGCACGCGACAAAGAAACAATTCTTGGAGAATGCACCGAGTCCCAGGTTCGCAACATATTTCCGGGAAATGTGGTTGCGAAAGTGGGACTCGGGTCAAATAATTAGGCGGAAACCGCCGTGTGGGCCTTTTTGGAGCCCTGGTGGGTCGGCTTGGGGCCCTCTCGAGCCGTCATGGGGCCATCTTGGGCCGTGGTGGGGAGCTTGGGCCCTCTATGGATCTTGCGGGGCCTACGTGGGCCCTCCTGGTGGCCTCCCATGGACTTTTTGGGGACCTCCCCTTGCATTATTGAGCTTCTCTTGGGGGCCTTGTGAGGGCATGTTGGGCTTCTTTGTGGCGCAGTCAGGGCTTCCTTGGGCAGTCTTGGGGCCATCCAGGCCGTCCAGAGGCTCTCTTGTGGGCCTCTTGGGCCGTCTTGGGGCGATACCGGATGCTCAAACCCGAACAGCGAATATGCTGAAACTGCATGTTTCCCTTCGGGAATGAAGCGATTTCTGCGTTCTGGGAGTCCTGTTGAGGGCATCCTGGGTCGTTTTGGAGGCCTCTCGAGGCCATCTGGGTCCTTCTTGGAGCGCTTCTGTGCTGTTTTGGGTCTCTATTCGGCCTCTCTGATCGCCGCTCTGATCGCCTGGCGTCAGCTGTCAAGACCCGTCCAGGGAGCCCGGAAACCCTGGATCCTGGGGGTCCCGTTTTTGGGGTGGGGGTGTTTTTCTTTGTTTTTCCCAACCCCGTGGCTGGTGAAACTATAAAAATAAGAATATATATATATACAGAGAGAGAAATACGTCCGTGTTTGTTGGTACATTAATGTATCAGCACACGATGAGCTATACATATCTATATATATAAATGTATATATATATACATACATGCATACATAACATGCATACATCTATATATCTATATATAGATGTATATGGTATACACATGCCCATATTGGTATGGCGTGCATGCACGTTCGCGCGTATGACATGCATGCACATATTCGCGTGCGCATGTGCACGCGCATGCTCGCCACCCGTGTGCGGAACTCGAAGGACCAAGGTGCACGGCGCGAAGTGCCACTGCAGTCTTGTATACATATATGTATATACATATCTATATATATATATATATATATATATATATATATATATCCTACCTGCCTCCTCGTCCCCTCTCTTTTCACGTCCCATCCCTTATACCAGCGTCTTGTGTGCAAGGGGAGGGGGGGGCTGCCAGCGCGAGACCCCCCGACCCCGAGGGGCCCCGCGCAATGAAGGGGCGGCAGCGCGAACGCGAGTCCGAACCCCCGGAGTGGACCCCAGGAGCGGCAGCGCGAACGCGAGACCGAACCCTGAGTAGAGGGCGGCAGCGTGAACGCGAGCCCGAACCCTTAGGAGGGATCGGCAGCGCGACCACGAGTCCGAACCCTCCCCAAGGGAGCCCCCCCTTCCGAGTTTGGCAGGGAAGGGATGGGATGGGCCAAAGCGGCTGCGGGGGAGGCGGCAACGGGATGGACGCGTCAAGGGGGCGCGCCGGGCGAGATACATCGCATGAGAAACCCAATGATATGTATATCCCACCTGCCTCCTCGTCCCCTCTCTTTTCACGTCTCATCCCTTACCGGAGTCTTGCGCGCAAGGGGGGGCTGCCAGCGCGAGAACCCCCGACCCCGAGGGGCCCCGCGCCCCAATAGGGCGGCAGCGCGAACGCGAGTCCGAACCCTCGGAGTGGACCCCAGGAGCGGCAGCGCGAACACGAGACCGAACCCTGAGGAGAGGGCGGCAGCGTGAACGCGAGACCGAACCCCTCGGAGGGAGCGGCAGCGCGACCGCGAGTCCGAACCCTCCCCGAGGGAACCTCCCCCGTCCATGCACCCCACTCTGGTTTACCGCCTTGGACCCTGGGGAGGGAGGGTCGGGGAAATGCTGACAGCGAAGCTGTGAATCACGGCAGTGTAACCTTCTGTGCTCTCTCTCTCTCTCTTTTTCTCTCTCTCTCTCTCTCTCTCTCTCTCTCTCTCTCTTCATCGCGCGTCGTGATCAAGGGCCGCCGCCAGGCGGCGGAGGCGGTCCAACTCCAGCGGGCCGAACGAGCTCTGCAGCAAACTCTGCAGCCCGTCCGACACGTGGAGACGCGCCACGGCGGCATCCTGCCACCTGCCCATGATGAGCGCGTGGCCTATGTTGCTGTAGCGACGGTGGCGCATCGTCGCGGCGCCGCGGCGCAGGGGGCACGGCGCGCACTGGTGGAGCTCGAGCCCCAGGCTGGAGATGAGCTCCCTGAAGACCCGCCTGAAGTCCTCCGCGGAGGACCTGGGGATGAGCTCGTCGGGCGGCAACCTGTCGAGGGATTGCCGCGCGAACTTCGCCAGTCGCGGGTCGTAAAACGCCGCCGACACCTCACGGTGACGCCGAACTCCTGACTTTGCGACTGGCAGCGCGATGATCATACTGAGCCAATCGAACGTGGACTGAAGCTGCCACCTGCGCAGGCTCAGCAACTCCATCGTGCGAAGGAACGCCGCGTAGCCCACGACCAGCAGGAGCGCCGCGCTGTTGCGAGACCACGGGCGCGCCACGAGGGCCAATGCCATCAGCGCGTGCTCTGGCATCAGCGTGGCCCGCTGAGGCGTTTCTATCCTCTGACAAGCTTTGAGCATATTCCAGGAACTATGTAGAATAAGCTTGCGTCGCAAGAAGAACTGCGCGCCTGAGATGGTCGAACCCGCATCTCCAGCTGGCCGAGCAGCGGCTCACAACGCCTCAATCCGTTCACACAGTTGAAAATCGAGCTGCTCCACATCAGTCTCCACTGCTACACCGTGAGCTTTCACCCACGAGGTGAAAACCAACACCGTCCCTGTCTCGGTGTACCCGTAGATCGGTCGCGCTGAGGCCGCCAGGACCAAGGTCGATGCCCTCTTGACAGCAGCATTGAGCACATGGGAAGAAGAGCGTCCTCTTGTTATCACACCAGTGCCCACCTGTGAGTCCATGAGATGAGCAAGCCTCGTGTACAGATGATGGCATGCACGGAATCTCCAACGTAGAGCAGCCATCGTACTGAGGACCTCCAGCGCTGTGATGTGGCTCTTCCAGCTCCAGCGCCAGACCAGGCCCGTCTTCCATGTCCAGCGCGCCACACTGATGGGCCTCCGAGGCCACAGACCAGGGCGCATCACTTCCAGTGAATCCAATCGAACACCCAAGCCTCGAGCGCGCCTCACCATCTCCTCGGCCATCTGCACGCTCATGTCCTGCTGGGATTCGCGGCCGCACAGATCCTCGCAGCGAACCAGCACAGCCTCGCCCCCGTCGGCCGCCATCCTTACCACGCCCTCGGACGCGTCGACGCCGCCGCCCTGCTGCCGCAAAAGCTCCACGCTCGGGGCGCCGTCGAGGTACTTCTGGCAGTGCGCCCAGTGCCCCAAGATCCAGGCCACCACGGCGCACTGGAAGGGGTTGCCCAGCAAGGCGCAACGGACCACCTCAAGCTCGCGGGTCTTGCGGAAACGGGTCGCCATGGCTGTTGCCGTGTGACCAGGGGGGGAGTCCATCAGCACCGCCCACTCAAAGGAATCCGCAGGCTCCAAATCACCGCCAGCCCAGCGCAAGCAGTGAACATCTCGGAACTGGTACGGGGCATAGCAGTACTCGTGGGTGCGCCAGCGCGCCAACTCCTCCTCCGAACGTTGGTGCAAACCCTTGGGCTTAGAGCCTGCGCACGCCCTCGGGATGCAACGGGCGAAGGTCGACCGCCACTGCTCCTCGCACTCTGCGCCACACCAGTGACGGCCCGCACGAAGCCACCGTTTGAGATCGCCCGAACCACCTGGGATCACCACCCTCCTGACCTCCCCCGACTCGTTCGCCACTGAGCCACCAGGTCCCAATCGCACAAATACAGCCTGTCTCGCCGAGAATGCGAGATGCCGGCTGCCTCGATCACCGCGGGCTGCAGTCCCAGCGCCTGCGACATGGCCTGTCTATCCAGGGCCTTCATGGAAGATACGTTCTCGACCAAGTTGAACAGCTGCACCTCGACGGGGGGCGCGCGACGCATCAAGGCCTGCGCCCGCAAGATCTCGAAGAAGAAGCCCGACCGCTCGCCGTTCAGCTCGCACCTGTCCACGCTGAGACGATCAGTTCGCATGTCGAGAGATCGCCTGATGCCACCAATGCCGTCGAACAAAGAAAACAGCACGCCCTCATCCTGCAGTCGGCCTCCGCGCTTAGCCCGAGCCGCTCGCGCGGCCGCGGCCCCGTGGGGGAGGAACCGCACGGCTCGGCACACGGTACCCTTCTGCTCACTTGCATCCGGCACCGTCACCACGCCGCTGTCAGGGGACCGCAGGTCGCACCTCATGAGTGGCAAGAGCCCCAGCGCGATCAGGATCTCCCTGAAGACGGGGCTTGGCAGGCGGCGCTCGCCTTTCCAGCGCACCACGGCTCGCCATAGATGGTCGAAGGCCGACGTCGTGTCCACGCGGAACATCATAGCTCGCACCCAGCGGCCTGCAAGCACCTGCAACCACCTCTGCGCCACCTTCTCGCGGTCCAGCGAAAAGAGGCTCAGGCTCAGCAGCTGGTAAATGAAGTATCTGGGGGGGGGGGGGGGGCTGCTCATGCCTAGCTCGCCGTCCACGAGCTCGCCCAAGGCCTGGCCCTTCAGCGAGCGGCTCACAAACTGATCCTCGATGCGAGGGGCGCCGCGGGCATCGCATCGCGCCCTAGTCAAACACGGAGCCTCAGGGGGGCCCTGCGCCCTGCAGGGCTGCCAGCGCCACCTCATCCGCGATCTCCAGGAGGTCGAGGTTGTCGAAGTACACCTGCCAGACGACCCAGGCAGGAGGACACGCAGGGGTAGAACAATGCGCGCCCCCAGCTGTCCTCGCCTCTTCCCTCCAGACCTTGATCAGCACATCACCGTGGCATCCCTGATCTGGCCTGCAGTGACAGATGAAACGGCAGCCCGACAGCTCACCAACATCCTCGAGCAAGCGCGGAGCTTCCCTCAAGTGAGTTTCAAACTGTAGGACGGCCGATGTCCTGGACAAGCCTCGTGAGACCCTGAAGAGGTTCGCACACTTGGAGGGGGAGTGGCCGTGCCTCTGCCCTGCGCGCCCGATGTGCACGGGCACGCACTCGTCGTCGCAGCCGCGGCCAACCTGCCCTCGCACGGGTTCTCCCTCTGAGGCACACGGCTTTGCCAGCGAGGCCTGGCCCGAAGCGGGGGGGGCCCGCGTCCAGCTCGCGATGCGGAGGGAGAGGGGGGTCGCGTCGCAACTCCTGCTCCACTGGCAGTGGCTCGACACCTAGGACCCACTCGCGCAACAGCCTCCTGTGGATGTGCTGGGTGATCCCCGTCGCCGAGATCCAGCCCACGGGGATCGCCGCCGCCGCCGCGAACACGCTGCCACTCCCAGCCAAGCTCAACGCAGCACGCCTGACGGGCTTGGACAAGGCCATGTACCTGTACCAGACCACGGGCAGGCGGCACACGTAGAAGCAGTCCTCCGACGAGGTCAGGGGCACCTCGCCATTCCTCAGAATGAAGCTTCTCCACTTGTCCGTCCCATGTCGCCCTCGACGGTCTCCTGCAGCCAGTTGCTAGGGATGATGTTCATCACGAGGCGCTGCGGACCCTGGCCCTTGCCGAGCCCTGAGTTGCGGACCCCAAAGAGGCCGCCCATCGCACGCCGCCCTCTCACCTGCACAATACACTCCTCCTCGATAGGCACCAGGATCCCGCGGTCCACCAGCTCGGCGGCGATGAGCTCCCACTCGGCGTCCTCCGCCCAGACGCGGGGGGTATTCGGCATCTCGCCCAGGTCTTCAGGGTTCTTGAAGATCCACTTGGGCTTCCCCAGCGCACCTCGAATCCAACCGTCGCTCACCTCCGTGGCCAGCACCGGCCCGCGCGCGTGCTTCGGCGGCAAGGCCAGCATCAGGCGCTCTCTGTCGAGCTTCTCCGCGGCGTACACCTCTTCGCCTGTGTAGCTGACCGCTGAGGACTTGAGCTCCGACTCCCACTCCAGCATCGGCACCTTGCCACTGTACTGCTCCAGGAAAGCGCACACGCTCCGCGCCAGGTGCCGCAGGGCCTCCACCTGCACCAGGCTGGCGGGGCCGAAGAAGCGGCGGGCGCGGCCCCCCTCAACAGAGGATGCTTGCCTCCCAAGCGGTGCTGGAAGTTCAGCGCCTGCACCGCCAGGTAGAGCCACCTGTTTACGTCGTCCTCCATCGCCACGGTCACCATGTTCACAATGCGGTCCTGGTCGGACTCCAGCTTCAAGTCGCAGACCTGAACGAGAGCGCAAGGCAGCGGCATCAAGTCACGACGACCGCTCCTTGCGGACAGTGGCAAGGAATGAGTCGACTGCTCATCGGGGGGATGTCCGTGATCTGAAGCCAACGGCCTCGCCTCCAGTGAATCATGCAGTAGCCTGCCGTCACGCCGATAACCGTAGTCAGAGGCCAGAGGCACCGCCTGAAAAGAGTCATGACGCGGCGCGCCAGCCCCAAGATGCATCATGCAGCTCCCAACTTCACGAAGGGGCAATCCACAAAGCCGTCGGAACACATCTGCACCTCGCAGTTCGTCAAGGCGTGGAAAGGCACGAATTCTAGACGCTTCGCATATCCCCACCAGCGCCGTTGTTTCTCCGACCGCTGGCGCCTCCGACGGACTTGCAGCAATGCACGCTGGCAGTTCCCCTCAGTTTCAACCCCTTCAGCCCTCCGCCTGCCGTTGGGCCGCTGCGCGAGGCCTCGGCCAGCGCGTAGCTGACTCCTCGCGCGTCGCCTCTGGATAAATTTTCTCGCGTTTCCCTTACCTAATTGGTCTCTGCGGAGCCCGTTTTGACCTGGCTCGCCGCCGGCGCGCTCGCCCGCGGCCGCTGACAGAAAAGTACCCCCACCAGCCCATTCAGAAACGACGCCCAGGCGACTAGAGGGTCGTCCTGAGGAGCTTTTCGGCGTCTTGGGTGCCTCGGGGGGGGGGGCCTCTTTGGGCCGCTCGGGATCCTCTTGGGGGCCTCCTGGGGGCCTCTTGGGGCCGTCTTGGGGCCTCCTGGGCGCTTCTTGGGGCCATCTTGGACGATCAAAGAAGAGGGGGGCTGCAATTAGGGTTGCCCCCTCAGGAGGCGGTCTGGGGGCCATCCTGGAGGAAATCTATCGAGAAAGAGCGCGGCTTCAATTAGGGTTGCCCCCCCATAATGCCTCGAATCGCTTCTTGGACCCCTCGTGAGTCGATCTTGGAGTGCCCTCGGGCACTCTTGGTGCTGTCTTGGGGCTCTCTTGGGCCTCTCTCGTGGCCCTGCTGGGCCATTTCGGAGCCATCTCGAGGTCCCGGATGGCCATCGGAAGCGAAAGGGCGAGAAAGCACAAGCCATTGATTTTCCTGAGGTTTTGGGACGGTGCTTGGCTTCGTCGGGGCCTCGTTGGGGAGCTCTTTGGCCACTTGGAGCCATATTCGAACGATCTTGGAGCGTCTTGGAGCATCTTCGGAGGCATCTTGGGTGGTCTTGCGCTATCTTGAGCGATATTCGAGGTCATGTTGGGATCTCTAAGGCTCTCTTGGAGCCGTCTTGGGCCATCTTGGACGCTCTGACCGCTCGCGCCGCCCCCCCCCCCGCCCAGGTCCACGGGGGGGGGGGGGTCGCGCCCTCCCCGAAGGGGAAGAAGGAGGGGTGAAAGAGGGAACCCCCTAAACCACCGAGGCCCAGAGGGCCGGTGGGATTGCGGGCAGCCCGTCGTCTGAGAAGGCATGGTCACGAGCCTCTTTGCGCTCCGCCTCGTCAACAGCTGACGGGCTGGTGGTCTGAGTCTCCCAGCTGCCTCCAGAGGTGTCAGCGCGGTTGCCCTGCTCCACCTCCTCTGTCATGCATGTTGCTGCTGGTTCTTGCGACCGCCATTGCGCTTGCCCATGCCCGGGCCCTTGCCGCGGCCAGTGGCTCGAGCGGGCTGGCCGCCCTTGTCGCGGGACCACGGGCGCTGCGATCCTGGCGGACCCCGCCTGGCCGGGCTGCGCCCCCCCACGGGCTCGGCGAACGCCGCGCAGCGCGGCGGGCTCGCGGCGCCTGCCCCAGGGCGCAGGCTGAACCTCCTCGGCGGCCCAGGGCTCGAGCGGCGAGCCGCAGCCCTCGCCAGAGGGGGCGGGGCGGGCGCCCGAGCGCGCTGCGGCGAGGGGGGGCGCTCTCCCTGGGCTCGGGGCGCGCCCCTCCGCAGCCCGACTCGAGGCCCGCGGCTCCTCCGCCCCTGCGGGCGCTGCGGGCGGCGCGCCAGCCCCTCGACCTGCTGCGCTGCGGCCGCGGCCCCTGCCCTTGCGCCAGCGAGCCTTACGCTGCGACGCCGTCGACCTCGGCGACTCGTTCACTTCCTGAGCTCCAGGCCTCTTCGGCGGGGGTGGCGTCACGGGGGAGGGGGGCGGGGGGGGGGGGGGGGCGCCCTGGCGCCCCCGCCCCTCCCCCGCCAAGTCCCTAGAGGGACTTGCCCTTGCCGCTTGCCTGGCCGAGGCGCCCCCTCGACTTGGCCCCCTCCGAATATGTCGACACGGACGACGCCGGCTCCCCCTGCGAGGCCAGCCCGACGTCCGTGGGGCCCACCAGCTCGAGGTGCTGCGCCACCTGCCAGCGCCCGTCCTTGGTCGCCTGCTCGATGGCCTTCAGCCTCTGAACCAGCGCGTCGCCCAGGCGCGGCAGCTCGCCGCGAGTGAGGGCGTCCAGGCACTCGCCTATCACCCTTATCTCTCGCACGCTGCGAACTCCAATCTCGTTCTGAGGATGGGCCCCGTGCCACTCGCTCGTGATGTATCGCACCACGTTCGCGCCCATGCCGCCCAGCTCGTCGTCGTCTGTGGCCGCGCCCCGCTGCGCCAAGTGATCGCGGATCTGCTTCAGACCCGCCGCCATCAGAGCTCCTGGATCGGAGGCGGCGAGGCGTTGTACTCGGCGGCTGGAACCAGCGGGTGGGGCCGCGTCAAAAAGCGACTCGTCGGAGGCGTCGCGGCCCCGACTCTTGGCTCCGCGGCGGCGCCTCCGCTGGCCCTCCAGCGCAGCATCAGCTCTCTCGTCGAGGGCCCCCCCCCATCGAGCGCTTACGCCTGAGCCTCTCACGCAAGTCCTGGATCGTCCTCCTGAGCTGCTCCTCGCTGCGTGCGCCGTTGCCTCCGCCGTCAGCGCCCTCAGCCGCCACTGGACCGCCGGCGCCGCCTCCTGCGGGGCCCGCGCCTGCCGCAGCGCCGCCCTCACCTGCAGGAGGTCCTCTGGCGCCGCCTCCAGCGGCGGCACCGTCGGCCAGGGCGGCCGCAGCGGGGGCACCCAACCCCGCTCCAGTGGCAGCCTTCACTCCCGCCGTGTCCGAGTGCACCGCGTTGCGGTTGGGCCACTTGGTGGCGAGGTGGCAGGTCCCCAGTGCCTGGGCGCACACATGCAAGACCGACGACCCCGTGGCAAAGAGTCCCTGCAGCACGGGCATGAAGTGTGGCTGGCTACAGGACTCCACCGTCGCCTCCACGAACTGACCTGCTGCGTCCGCGGGCCAGGCTCCTGACACGCGGAACTCGGCGGTGCCGTTGGGCTAGCCCCACGCATCGTACATGACGACCTCCAGCAGGGCCTCCGGGTAGGGCTGCAGCTGCTGCAGCGCGTAGGGGGCCAGCGGGAGGTAGATCCAGGGGACAGGACCTCCTCCGTTCCCTGCGGGTGCCGCCACTGCGGGCATGCCGAAGGCTCCGCCGTACGGAGGCAGGCCCGCGGGCACCCCGAGCAGGCCTCCAGCCGCCGCCCCGCAGGGGAAGCCTTCGGCCAAGACAAGCTGCCCAGCTCAGCCCGCAGCGCCCCGCGGCGGAGCACCCCAACCGCCTGCGGGGCACCCCGCGATAGGAGCAGGCGGCAACGGGCCCGCAAGAGGAGCTGCGCCACCTCCAGCGGCACCAGGAAGGCCGCCGAGCGCGCCGACTCCAGGCAGCCCTGGGGCCACGCCTGCCGTGCCACCCGCGACGGCCGCGGCGCCAGCCACGGCCGCGGGAGCCCCTCGCGCCTTGCCGCGGCCAGTTCCGCGCCCCGCGGCCGCGCCAGCTCCTCTCTTGGCGGCGCCGCGCCCTCCTGCAGGCTTGCCCATGCCGCCCATCGCAAGTTTGGCGGCCCGCGCGGCGCCGCCTCCTGCTGCGCCTGCAGCACCGCCTGCGCCACCAGCTCCTGCGGCCGCTGCGGCCCTGGCGACTCGGGGCGGAGGCGGGGGCAGCATCCCGCCCACACCAGGGGGCATGGCTGCGAAGCCGCCCGCGACCCCGCCCGCCCCGACGCCGAGGAGCCCGCCCGCGGGGCCCACCAGCGCGCCGCTAGCGCCTGCGCCTCCCACGCCTGGCGCCGCTCCGCCCCCGAACATCAAGGGGGGCGGGCTGGCGTGGTGGCGGCACGCCCCGCGGCGGAGCCGCCGCGAACCCAGCCCTGCTCAGCGGGCCGCCATCCCGCACCACGTGAGGATGGCCTGGGCCGCGGCCTGGGGGGGGGGGGTTATACGGGTACCCCCCCCAGAAACCCCTTGTTAGCCAACGGGATGGACGCATCAAGGGGACGCGCCAGGGGAGATACATCGCATGAGAAACTCAATGATTTAACATATGTATACACATGTGCGGATGCAGCACCCCGCAGTGCGGGTACCGGCGAGGGGGCGGGCGCGGGGTGGGTCGCAGGTGGGTCGCAGGTGAATCACAGGTGGGTCGCAGGGTGAATCGCGGGGTGGGTCACGGGTGAATCGCGGGTGGGTCAGGAGGGGGGGACAACGGCACCAAGCCACAACAACAAACAACATACAACAAACAGAATCCGGGCCACGGGATCCCAATTCACCCACGCACCCAGGAATCGTGTAAGATAGTTCGCCCCCGTCACTCTGACACATGTAACCGTACATGATTCCCACTCTGGAATATCTGTGTATATACACAGCTGTATCACCATAGTTTGTATGTGTGGAGTTACAGGCGCGTACGCATACGCTCACAGTCATGGTTTCCCATATTTGTAGATGTATATATATATACATATATATATATATATATGTGTACACACCCAAGGACACATACATCTAGACTTAATGCATGTCTGTTTACACGCTTCGAAACATGTGTAATAGTACAAGTCATAGGGGTGCGGACGGGCGAGACGATACAGGGAGGTACCAAAGCACACGGGGAGGAATCGCGAGGAGGTCGAACAAAGGAAGGCCTGGTTCCCGAACAGGTACTCCGTGTAGGGGATCAGCGCCAGTATCCTGTCGCCGAAGAAGCGGCACCTTCCCCGCTGTCGCGGGGCCACGGGGGCAGAGGGCGGGAACGGGGCGAGGCGCCCGAGGCCGAGGCGAGGCACGCAGGTCGAGCAGCGGCGTAGTTGGCGGCCACGACGGCGGCGGCGATGGCGACGGTGATGGTGCCAGCGCCGCCGCGGCGGCCATCGGTCGGCGGAGCAGCCGGCGGATGGCGTCGAGGATCGAGGAAGGCTGCAGTCAGGCAGTGCCATCGTGGGCCAGGTCGCTGTGCTCGGTATACGCGTCGTTCATTTCTAACCGTGCTCATGTCTAATTGTGCTCGTTTCTAGCTGCTCCTGGCCCCCCAGGTGGCCAGGAAAAGGCCCAGGATAGAAGAACTAGAAGTGAAAGGATATTGCCCCCCCCCCACAAATCAAAGACTTCCCGAAACATTGGAAATGAACAACGCGTACCCATACAGACGGCCTCGATTGGACAGGGCACGCGAGAGGACACAAGACCCTTCCGAAGGCCGAATGGCCGCAGGAATGCAGGAAGCAGGGGCCGCGAGACACGGGACACAAGGGCGCCCTTGATTTGGCAGGGTCGACCTACTAATATTGTTTTGTTACCTGCATGCCAGGTTCAGCGCACACGCCTGAAACAACCGTTCACACGACGCGGAACTGTCAAACAGAATTGTCTAACAGACTGTCGGCTCGCCTCGTGTACGTTCACACGATGCGGAACTGTCAAACAGAATTGTCTAACAGACTGTCGGCTCGCCTCGTGTACGTTCACACGATGCGGAACTGTCAAACCGAATTGTCTAACAGACTGTCGGCTCGCCAAGGAGCAGGAGGAGGAGGAGGAGGAGGAGGAGGAGGAGGAGGACGAGGAGTAGAAGGAGGGAAGGACGGAAGACGAGAAGGGTCGCCCTACTGATCTGGGCCGACTGCAGTGCACCGAGGAGCTCGTGCCGCGCACCAGGAGGGGCCGGCCGCGCGAGGGGGCGCGGCAGCCGAGACGCGAAAAACAAGCGCTCGTGCCGAAGCGACCGCTCGCGTGCCCGCGGGGCTGCCGGCGCTGCGCCGTGTGCGCTCTCCCAGATCGATGGCGCAGCCCTGCATGGCGGGGCACTTGCCGCGGAAGCGGAAGCCCTCCTCCTCCTCCTCCTCCTCCTCGGCCTCCTCGCCTCCTGCTCCTCCCACCTCCTCCTCCCTCTCTCGTCCTCTTCTCTTCCTCCCATCCTCGTCCTCTCGCACCTTCTACTCGTCCTCCCACTCCTCCCTTCTCCAAACCCCTCCCTATCGTCGTCGTCATCCTTCTCTCCCCGGTGGAGGCTACGAGCTTGGGGTGGTCGAAGATACAAAGAGACCCGGAGCCAGATGAGGAGAATTAGCAGCGGGAGAACTGCACTGCACTTACACTTAAATGTGCTGACATACGCGGTAATCCATGAAGAGCCGTCAAGCGCATGCTGGTACATACGAAATGCCGGCTAGATCTTCTACGGAAGGGGTACCCCAGCAATGGACGACGACCAGC